TGTTTGGTTTTTTTTTTTTTTTTTTTTTTTTTTTTTTTTGAAAAGAAGCACAAAACTTTATTGATAAAAATTTGTACAAGAGAAAGCCAAAGGCAAGGGAAGAGATTTCCTTAGCTAGAACGACCAAACCCTGATAGATAGAATAATCAAAACAGGGAATTTACAGATATGGAGCCCAGCATCTAACTAACTCTGAAAAAACTGGCCTACCGAACTCTTTGTCTCTGTAAACCCATATTGAGACCAGGTATTTTACATTATCCCATAACACCCAACTATCTTCCGACCTCTCCCGAATTGGTATTGTTGTAAATGAAGTCACAAAATACATGTACCGTATTTCAAAACCAATTAACAAAGCCATCTGACCATAAATGTTCAGGGCATCACCACTTTCTTAAATGAAAGATTCAGAAAACAATAGAAGATTTTGGTACAGGCCATTAACTGTCCAGGTCTAGCCAAAGAAATATATATGGCCTTACCATCACTAAAAACATTTTTGGACTTTCAATGATTTTGTCCAGTTCAACCTAATAAAAAATGTACGCAATTGACCAAGTGAAAAATCTTTGCTCTAATCACGGAAAGAAAGATTTTATTTCATTTACTCAATACTATCCATGCTTCAAACATGTAACAAAAATCTAAGAAACGTGGTGCAAATACTCAATCCACATAAAAGATGAAGTGTAAATCAATGACAGGTGACAGCAAATACTCACCCTTTCCGCAAAGTGTGCAGCGCTTTCTTTTTCATGATCAAGGGGTGAAACAAGTGGAAGATACTCTACCTGTTATAAGCAGAATACTGAATCAATATTGAACTGACACTCATATACTTGTGATTGCACAAAGAAATGTGGCATTAATATAATTAGAAATGCCGTACCTCCATGAAATTGTGGAATTGTGTAAACATCCTAAACATCAGCTTTGTTAAAGATATAAGCCCCCTAAACAGTGTGACAAGATTAAATATAGGATTTACTAAGATGCCATTGAGACAAGAACAAAAGTGAACTTCAAGATCAAAATAGTATCTTACCAAGACTGATCAAAGTGTACATGGGGATAGCGAACAATAACTGGTTGGATTGGATAACCAGGGATGAATGCACCTAGTTGGAATGAAATCAAGAATCTTCCATTTGTAGTGGTTCCCTCAGGAAATAGAAGAACTCGAGGAAATCTATCACAAGACGCCTTTCTCTGTTTTCAACATCCTTGAAAGCACACTTCTGTATCAAATGGCTTATAAATTGATAAACATAATTTATTTTTGAACTATTGTCGAAAACTAAATGAATTCAGAATCACATTTTTTTACTTAAAATTAGACTAGTTTCTGTACCAATGCATTACAAACTGTAAATATCTAAATAGGTATAGTATATGTGATGTACTTTCATTGCTTTTGGAGTTTTATAGCCTAATCCGTTACCTGTTACAAATTTACAATGTCTCCCATACCGATGATGTTGAGAACCATACACTCAACAAGGGTTAACAACATAAAGTTGCTTAAAACTTATAGAAACATTTTACCTTTATCTCATTCACTGCAAGTTTCCTTGATGATGGTGAGAATCTATTAACATATATGACCTGAGAACATGAATAACGGCACACCATGAAAATTGCATCTAAATGCCAGCAATAAAGACAACTATAAGTTAATTTTGCCTGTAAGTTGGAGGGTTGAGGTGGGCTTGAACATAAAAGTCAATTTAAACCCTTGTTCGGTGGCATAACATTTTGAACTTGAATTTGGGTTTAGGGTTCATTTGAACCCAAAATTGAAGGTTGAACTCAACTTTACCACCCTTAAAGTTCTTAAGGTTCTAACCCATTTTACTGTTCAAAACTCAACCCAAAGGTTCCCACCAACCATTTTCACTCACATTTTTTAAAAACTCATAGTTCTAATAATGTAACCAAATGTTGTATCAAACTTTATTCCCTGTTTAGAGCTTACACTACCCAACGCCAGTTCAAACCACAGAAAAACCCACATATAGGTTCAAACCCACACAATTCGAACCCGCGAAGCAAGCAGCGAAGCCTAGAAAATAGAATGTATGAGAAAGCTAACAGCTTGAAGGCGTGAAGTTACCTGCATTGCTCTGATAATAGTTCCAACAAAAGGTAAGGAATCATGGGACTCTGCTGCCACAATGGTCGGAAACAATTCATAGAAATAGAAAATAGGTTCAATGTACGATACATGGTTAGAAACCACTATGGGAGCAATTTCCCTAGGAGCAGGTTTCCCCTTCCTCCTAATCCAATGGTAGCTGCAAGAAAAAGCAGAAGCAAAATTCAAGCGGAAAGAGGGCAAAGAGTCAGACGTATACAAAAGGATCAAATAATTAAAATGAAACTTTGAAGTAATGAGTTTTTTATTTTTTTTATTTTTTTTCTTTCAAGGAAGAAGATGCTTGGAAAGACATCTTCCTCATACAGAAGTAGTACGCTTTATAAGCATTATTCATTCACGGATATAAACCTAATCAAAGTAGTACGCTTTGTTGATAAATCACTTTAAAAACAAATAGTTTTTAGTCCCTTTCATTTTGTACAGTCGTCTCAAACACTGCACGAAAATTTCATAAGTTCAGCATACCTAATAACACTTCAAGTATTCTTGCACTCCCTATCACACACTTGAATTGTATTGCGACGTTACAAATCCTAAGAACTCATAATCTTTATTGCGATTTAATTCAATTTGGGACCATGTTTTCACTTCAATAGTAACTTATGATCTTTGTTTCTCTCATCTTTATAATACACCACGGAATGATGTCTTAACAACCCAAAGAAACCACAGAAAGCCACCAAGCGTCTTTCCTCTTTTTCATGATGCTAAACTTTCACTCCCTCATCCTTCGCCACAACGTTTGATTTTCAGAAGTCAATTCATATTAATCATCCAAATAAATAATAAAGTAATTTTCACATATCAAAAGTCAAAACTGCAATCAAGACACGACACTGAAATTTTTTACATGGAGTCTGAGAGACGTCTCGCGTGTGATTGCCTCTAATCTTCTTCGTCACAGTGAATTCTGTGGAGGTTGAAAGTTGTGTGTTTGATTATTCTTTCTTTATTCTATTGCTCTCATTAGTAAAGAATTAAGCTAGGGTCTTAATCCGCAACACAACAAAACACGACCAAAAACAAATTCTATTTTCCAGAATTCAAAAAGGCCAAACGAAATTGAAATCAAAACTCACCCAAAAGAAAAGAGGATACAGCGGGCACAAAACCTAGTAATCCACATGATCCTACACCTCCACTTGGGCATCGGATTCTGCTTGTCCTTCCAACCTTGGAGAGCCAATTTGGTCGCCAAATACCCGATCGCGAGGCAAATCCCGAAAAGCGCGAGCCTCAGAGCCGCGATGGGCAAGCAAACTAATATCTTTAGCCACTCGTAGACGCCGCTGATCATCAGCGTGTGGTTGCGGAAGGGGTTAGCTGTCGACTGGCGCGGCACGTCGAACCAGTCCGATCCGAGGAACGCGTAAGGGTTCCGAGAAGAATCGGAGCGTGCGTCTCCGTCGTCGTTGTTGGAGCAATCGATTCCGTTTCCTGACGGTCCTTCGTTGTCTTCTCCGATGTCAACGACGAAGTGAGGGTGATCGGACGGCTGAGACGAAAGGAGAGGCGACTCGAGATCGTGGTCCGCCATTGGAGCAGAGGAAGAGGAAAATGGGAATTGGAAAGTATATGAGAGAGAGGAAGTTGGTAATGGTGAGGAAATAGGAATCTATGGATCCAGTACGGGATTTTGAGCGATTTGTGTCCGTCTGTCTGTTGCGTGTTTTTATGTGTTTGTGGTGGGAATATTATTGTTTGGATGGAGGGAAAATCTTTTCTTTCTCGATAGCCACGTGCTTTTCTAATAGTAATAGTAACAATAATTGTTTTCTTTTAAAATGGTTGCTTTTTTATTTTACAAGCAAAAAGAACCTTTTTTTTTTTTTTTTTTTGGGTTTTGACGTTTTTAAAGCAGTTTCGGCCCATGTTAATAAATAGTTTTAAGAGAGAAAGAGAGAAATAGATTAAGACTTGATATTAATTAAAATTAATAAGTTAATAGTTTACATAAATTAATAAATATGTTAAATTATTGTTTTTGTTCATAATTTGTCTGGTTATGAATCATAAATTGATAAGTTATTATCCATAAATCACGGTTTTTGTCAATAACTTATCTGGCTATAAATCATAAATTGACAAGTTTGTCCATAATTTATCTGGTTATGAACCATAACTTAACAAGTTATAGCATATTAATTTATATAACTAAAAATTTGCCTATATATTTCCTTAAGCTTTTCATATTAACCTATTTTCTACTATTTCTGTAGTTTTAACACAATCGCCCATATTGCGGTTTAGCAAATTATTTTTTAAAGTTTTAATTTGATAATCAACTTAAAATTTATAAAATTATTATAATGTGTTTTATTTTATTAAATTTGTTAAAAATTTTTAGAAAAAAATTTATAGTAAGCGGCTGTACTTCCTCTCTATTGGTAGGGTGCAAATTTTATACCCTATAATTTAAATCAAACAGTCAAAAAAAATAAAAGACTACCAAATCTATTTTAGGGACAAACACGATCAAAATTACACACTTAATTAAACAGTCAAAGTTTTGATTTTATAAGCAAAAAGAACTTTTTTTTTCGTTTTGACGTTTTTAGAGTAGTTTCCTTATTAATGAAAGGTTTTAGCACAATGCCTATTTGGTTTAGCAAATTATTTTTCAAAATTTTAATTTTAATAATAAACGTAAAATTTATAAAATTATTATAATGTGCCTTATTTTATTAAATTTGTTAAAAATTTTTAAGAAAAATTTATAATAAGTAATTCTTCTCTATTAGTAAGGTGCAAATTCTACGCCCCATAATTTAAATCAAACAGTCAAAAGAATAAAATACTACTAAATCTATTTTAGGGGTAAACACATGCTTAATTTAGAATTAGGCCTCGTTCACTTCGCGAATTTGAGTTTTTAATTCGAGTTTATATGTGATATTTTATGAGAACTTTTCACTGTAGCAGAACAAGTTAGATGTGACATTTTTAAAAGTTTTTTACTGTAAAAATTTAAAACTGAAAACTCAAATCGGTGAAACGAACGAGACCTTAGTGTGTTTTTAATAAAAACATTACTTTTATTTAAAATAAAAACAGAAGTAGAAATAAAATCTAAAAATTATAAATTCTAATTTTTTAAAATAATTTAAAAATTATATTAATTGATGTACAAAATATTTTTATAGACCTTTATTACATAGTTATTTCATTTATTACGTAAAATACTTTTAGGAGTTTCAAAAACAATCACAAACACACCTTTACTTTTATGTTTGATATTTAAGAAAACAACCTGATAGCTTCTTCTCCTTCTCTGATCTCATTTTCCGGGGGGCCGTCATGCTCCCCTACGCGTCGCTAGCTGAGCCCTCGACTCCGTACTCGCTGACCGTAGTCGCAATCCCCCCGCTTCTCATCGATCCCTTTAGCCCTCCATGCCTTCACCGTTGTCGACATCTATTCCTCCTCCAGCGCTCCATCGCCGAGCCCCACCTACACTCAGCGGGCGTCCCCCTTCGACGGAGCTTCACTGCGAAGCTTGATTTGGGGAAAGAAACGATTTCTTTTCTTTGTTTTTGTGTGTGTTTGGTTGCTGAGAAAATGCAAGAATCTATTACCCTGCCCACTACTTGCAACACAAAAGAAAAAATCATTTTAATACTTTGAACAGATCTTTATAACATACAGGGATTTCGATTTGTTGAACAAATCAAAACATTAAAAAAAAGTTATGAAAAGATTAAAGAAATTTATAGTTGAGATTTTAGTATTTGGAATTCCCAAGTCTTTCTTCAAATTTGAGTCTGATTTCACTGACGGAAGGAATGTCGGAGATAAACTGATGAGCCTAATGGCTCCAAAACAGGATTCTTGTCATCGTTTTTGGTGGTTGAACACAAGGGAACGCAAAGAATTTGGCTTCTATTTTGAGGTTCTTATTTTATTTTTTTTAAATTAAATGCTGAAAATATTTTAGTAGGGGAAGAGTGCATGATAATTTGTTTAAACCCTCATGATATGCAACAAGGACCATTGCATTTTACCCTACCGATGGAAAGTATAGCTCCTTATCATTGATTTTCTCAATTTTTTATTTGATTTAAAGGATTAAAAATTAAACACTTTAAATATTTGTGTTATATTTAAATTAAAATATTAAAATTTTTTGTTGAATGTGTTTTTTATACTAATTTATAATAATCATCGTTAAAATAAGATATATTTTAATAATTTTATAAGTTGAGTAGGTAATTTACCAAAATTAAAAGTTCAGGGAAGAGATAGTAACTTTGTTTATGTTGAAAATTGTATCCTAAAAACAAGAAATGTAATAAGAATTTTATAAATTTTAATAAAATATAAATTTTATTATTTTATATGCATATATATTTTCTATTAAATATCATTAAAAATTTCACGATTATTTATGTGAACTTAAATATTGTATGTAAGCGTTACATACTAGAAGAGAATATTTAAGCATAAGAATCGAACTAAGTCCATAATGAATTTAATTAAAATTCGAAATCTTTATGTTCTTCTCATTAAAAATGGAGCGAGCTTATCCGCATCATTGATATGAAGGGATATCGAATTATTGGGTGCGTTTAGAACTCGTTCCAAAATAATTTTGTGTTTTGTATGAAAATGAAAATGAAAACGTTGTCAATCTCAGACATAAATTATTTTTGAAAATGCATTTGGTAATTTTATCAAGAGATTATTTTCAGTATAAAAAAACCCATTAAGGTCTCTCTCTCTTTCGCTCTGCTCGAGAAGAAGAAAATGAAAACAAAAAAATGAAAAACGACTACAAGTCATTTTTCATTTCTCTCTCATTTTACACTAAAACAAAAAATCGTTTTCATTTCTATTTTTTGTCTTTATTGCTCCAAACTCCGTTTTAAAAACGTTTTCATTTATTCTTTCTCAAAAAATGTGAAAAATAAAAACGGGATCAATTCTAAACACGACCATTGTATCTTACATATAGAGATTATATAGGATTGGAAAAAGACACAATATGAATTTTAATAATTTCTATTAAGTATAGAAATTCTAATTGAGTCTACTGATGATCATCTATAGAATGATCTTAATCATAAGTTATTAGTAGACTCATATTTATAGATTCATGTCTTTAGACTTACTTGGTATAGATTTTAAAATTACTAAATCATATTCCTTGTATCTTAGAGACATAACGAAGTAAGTAACTGAGAATGTTACAAGATGGAATCAATTCTTCTTGATAAAAGAACATAAATAATTCCCTTGAGGGTTGATTCGGTACTTGAATATGTAACGAGCTTGTTCATGAATTTATTTCATGAATATACTATTCATTAGAGAAACGATGGTAGTAAAGGATAATGATGTAATTAGAGAGGTTAACGGATTTCACCTAGCTTTAATTTTAAATTATTCGTGGAGGTTCTATTTATATGAAGTGGCCATATCAAATGAACGTTTCACATATATAAATAAATGTCTATAATATCAAGAATGCAATTCTAAGTTTATAGTGGAGTAATTTTGAAATTAATATAATTAATTAATTAAAAAGATTAATTAATCATTAATTTTATTGGAGTATGATATTATAGGTCCATTAGTTCTTGCGTCATCATTATAATTTTTACAAGACATTATGAATATCATGGGAAATTTAGAATCATGAAATTCTAAATTAAATTACTCAAGATAATTAATTGTGAATTAGATTTAAATACTGTGATTATTTAATAAGAAACTTTGGAAAACACATGTGTGGGATCACATGGTGTACAAGCCCATACAGGAAGAATCCCTTTAGGATTCAGTTGTTTGCTCTCCAAGTTATATTATTTGTTGGACAAGTTAAATTTGTTGGACAAGTTAAACTTTTGAACTTGAATTAAAATTTGACAACAGGATAAATGTGGAATTTTATCCTCTACCTAGACTGCAAGTAAGCATCACACATTGTGTCAGACACTGTGGTGGCTAAATTTATTAAAGTTGGGGATATAGACTTAACAGCTGAAAAATAGAGAACTATTGGTAGTTCATTTTTTATTAGTAGTGTCAGTTTCTGACTGTTAAATTTATCAAAATTACATCAGATTAAATAAGTATGCAAAATAGACAGCTTCTGGTATAGATATGACAGCTGAAAAATAGATAACTATTGGTACCTCATTTTTTCTAATCCTACTAAAAGAACTCTCAATTTATTAAGTGTGACAAAAATATAACAAATAATAGAAACGCACAAATATATTAATATTAGCAGAAAATTACAACGAGAACATAAAATATTGAAACTGGAAATTCAACCTTTAAACTGAACTGAATTTAGAAGTGAAGAACATCGAGGCCTGTGAAACTCATAATTTTCTTAAAACATATTCACTCTCTCCACATGTACTTGAGAATTCAACGAGCGTCTGTCTCTCAAGATACAATGACGACGAACAGAACTTGGGCACAAAAGAATTACTTCAGCAATCTCTAACTATGTCTTCACTCTATCACCAGAGTTCCTAGACACTCTAAGAACAAGAAACTCACGAAAAAAACGAGAAAAGAAAATGCTTATGAACTTCTTGTGTGCGTTCAAATGTTTGGAGAAGACCCCCTTACAGAGGCTTCAGAAGGGGGTGTTACAACCTTTAGAATTCAGCTCATAATGCCCATAAACAACCGGATTAATGTGGATTTAATCCACAAGTTACAACTCTCCAAATTCAACAATGAA